GGAGAAGATCTGGCACCACGTGGCCTTTCAATTTTAGTGCACAATGCCACGTCAGTAAATGAAAAAATCCAGCTCACACCAATTTAACGCTGTCTTACACCACTTAACGGTTATGGTACAATGTGCTCACTTTTACAAAAAATATGACTCAATTGAGACAGAAAAAAACTTGAGGACCCAACTGAGATTTTCATATAAACTTGAGGACCAAGGGAGGGTTTAAACCTTCTGTTTTTTATATCAGCACCTTTGCCTTTTTTTAATTTAAAATTAAAAAATTGGAAGAAAAATAGTTGATTTCTGAAAAAATTCAAATTTGTTCTCTTTATTCTTTTTAATTTTAATTTACATTTTCTCCTCTCTTTTTTTCCACGAGCCAACCATATTATCAACAATACAAATCAACATTTTAAAATCTGTTGAGATGAAAAAGAAAAAGAAACAAAACATTATTAAAAATATAAGAAAAATGCCGCAACAAAGTAGCCATCCCGGAAAAATTGCAAGAAATAAAAACAACAAGGGGAAATTAAAATCACAGTCCTGTTAATTCTTATGTTCTTCAAAGTTGAAATTGAAAAAACTCTTTCTCTCTCTCTCTCCATCCTATTGCATTGCAGTTAAATTTCGCAGAAGGATCCTCACCCGCTCTCTCTCTGTCTCTCTCTTCCTGGCCCCAAATCTAAGGGCTTTCACCCAAACAGAGAAGAACATTGCATCGACCCTTCAAAATCCCCAATTCCCAGAACTCCGGTCAACTCGATTCCCATGAGATTTGGTTAATTGGATCGTAGTATGGCGGCGCCGAGGAATGTGACGGCGACGAGGGATGAAGAGAAGGGCGAGGATGACGATTCACCCTCCGCCAAGAAGCCCAAATTGGAGAGGTTCCCGCTCAACACGTGGGAATTTGCCGCCGCCGTTGCTGTCTTTTTCGTGTTCTCCACGGGCCTCTTCTGCATTTACCTCACCATGCCCCCCGCCGCTTACACAAGCCTCAAAATCCCCCGCACTCTCTCCGATCTTCGTCTCCTCAAGTACCGTGACCATAACAACTATGCTGTTTCTTCTTTTTATGTATTAATCATTATTGTATTAATTTGTTTATTTGTCTATTTATTGTGTTAAAGGGAAGATCTTTCGATGTATGCGAGCAACAATCCGGCGCAGTTTATTCTTGGCTATTGCTCCACCTACATCTTCATGCAGACTTTCATGATTCCTGGGACAATCTTCATGTCCCTTTTAGCTGGGGCGCTTTTTGGAGTTGTACGAGGAATACTATTGGTTGTTTTCAATGCCACTGCCGGTGCATCTTCCTGTTTCTTTTTGTCTAAGTTAATTGGCAGGCCTTTGGTTACTTGGTTGTGGCCTGAGAAGCTAAGGTTCTTCCAAGCTGAGGTTTGTTTTTGTATCCTTTATTTTTTATGTTTTTGCAAACATTTTGAATTTGGTGGGTATTGTTAATGTGGAATTTTGTTTTCTGGATGGTTGAATCAGATTGCAAAGCGTAGGGATAAGCTGCTGAATTACATGCTTTTTCTGAGGATAACCCCGACATTGCCAAATCTGTTCATCAATTTGGCCTCTCCCATTGTTGATGTTCCGTTTCATGTATTCTTTTTGGCTACTTTGGTTGGTCTTGTTCCGGCAGCATATATTACTGTCAGAGTAAGCTTCTCTGCTGGTGTTGATGTTTTTCTGCAGTGTGCTTGCTTTGCTGGTTTCTCTGAATTAGATATTTTTTCCTATTCTAAATTTTTGTTTTGTACGTGTGTCTGTTTATTTTTTTGTTTGAGCTCCTTTTAGTTAGTGAGTGTCGTATACATGCCTCTAGGCGTTTGCAAGGTTGTTGATATCCTGATTTTGCACCTAAGATTGCACTGCTCTACTATTTCTCACGTTTCTCCATGTTTGAACATATGCAGGATTGCAACCTGTAGAATTAGTCTAGGATCATTAGGGAAGATCGCAAACCCCTGTGAAATTGAGCCCCAAAACCTAACACGTGATTCGTTTATTTTTGTGAGTTGGATTGAGCCAGCTAATTGAGAGACAACATAGATTTTGCCCTGAAATCTCTTTCCTTGTCGCTTGAAGTCATTGAAATCTATCTCCTGTCTATTTTGGTTTCATTTGAACTCTTTTTATCTCCGTCTCAATTCTGTTCCGTTCATTTTGGTTGCAATTTCTGTGGTAATTTTTTTTATTGGGTCAGCAAGTTCTCTAAATTTTGCTAGATGGAGCTGGACCATATGACTAATTGCTGAGATATTTTATTGAATATTAATGTGATTTTAAGGTTATTTTATTTATGTTAATTTATAATATGTAAATATTCATTTAAATGCATTTTTGTTTTCTGTGTATGATTTAGCTGTGCAAATGTTCTGATAAAAGTGTTTCCCCCCTCTCCCCCTTTTTATTCTACACTGGAATAAGAACTTGATTTTTGACAACTTCGGCTTTTGCATTTTGGAACTTTTGCATTTGAAAACTCTTCTTCTTAGATAGAAATCAGGGATGGAGTGTCTTCTTGAATGCTTCTTAAAGATACCTTCCGGGGGCATAAGCTTTATGTCAATCTTTAATATGAAGGAACTTTGTGAATTAGATCTGCTTAAATTGGAGTGGGATGTTTTTTATTCTTAAGGAAACAGTTCAATAATATATCGAAGTAATTCTTGTTCCAATATGCATATATGCGAATATACACAGATGATTCATTCATATTTTACTTATTAGAACAACTAGAGTAAATCATTATTAAGCTAAGAGATTTATTGCAGCATTTATCTTGAAGGCTATTGGGAATTTGAAAGATTATGCTAGCAATGTTTCGGTTGAAATGGCACATTATTAGTTCCACTGAGAACTGCTATATTGAGAAATGCATCTAAATCCTTTTTCCTAACTGCTTAGAGTGTATTTTCTGTTGTTCCTTGTTGGTTGTTTTTGTACATTTTGCATCTCCTTTCATTTGAACTAGGCTAATGCGGACTGTGTGGTCATACATTAGTATGTTCTTCTCATTTTTACCGTGTCACATTTTGATTTCAATCAACGTGGATGGTTGTTGCATATAATTCCTAATTTATGGATGAAAAGGATAAATATCATCTATGATATTCATGCTTTTGATGATCTTCTGCTTTTCTTTTATTGTACTCCTAACCTCTATTGTTGTTTAACCAGGCTGGCCTTGCTCTTGGGGATCTAAAGTCAATTAAGGATCTATATGATTTTAAGACATTATCGGTACTTTTCCTCATTGGTTTTGTTTCCATAGTTCCAACACTTCTGAAGAGAAAGAGAGTATACGAATGAAGTTGTGCGAGCCTAGCTTGCGTTATACATTTTGTCAAAAGATAAGTTACGTTATCAGAGAAGATAGTATTGAAGAAAGATATCAATGAGAAAGGGTGTATTGTTATTAACTTAAACAGTAGCATGTGCTCCATTTTATTTTCTGTGGTGGAGCCTAAGTTTTTTATGTTTCCCTTTTTATATTTTGGTTGTGTGGAGAGAGCAAGGGTAAACATAGCTGAGTGAGTGGTGTACAATCGATTGAGCTACGGTTACGAGGCTTTGTTGGAGCATTAAATTACACATACTGACATTAACGTCATCAAGAAGGTTGTGGTGTTTGTTTAGCGATGCAGTATGCATACTTGCTCCGCACCATATAGGATCTGACTTTTATTCGTTAGTGTTGCTTTTTCAATCTGTAGAAGAGAACTTCAACCATTATTCTTCCTGTCGTTAGAGTCACCTCTGGTATTGTTATCCAATTTAATGCTCTTTCTCTAACAGGAAGTCATCTCAATGTTGCGTATAAACTTAGGATGAAACGGACTGATGTTTGTATAAATCAGCTAGATACTGCAATCACTTAAAGAATTGGTGTTTAGTTCCATTCCATTGCTTTCGTCATTCATAACTTCAATTATAAACTTTATTTCATGTCAATATCGCTAAAAGCCAATCACGTTTGAAGTTAATATTGCATTAGCTGACGAAGCTTAGGCATAGTTAAGTCAGAACAGTTCTAAAATTACTTGTGAACCAATTGCATTTTACACCAAGTCGTTTCGATTTTCAAATGAATGTTTCCATAAAAACTGACATTTATTTTGTATTTTAATTAAGAATACTATCAAATGAGTACGAACAGTTTGAGCATAAAAAAATTGTTCCATTATTTGTTATATTAAAATATAGTATTAATAGGCATTGGGATCTTCCTTACCACATAAATTATACATAACAACGGATCGTTTTAGATTTGAGCCTATTTTTATGCGACTGATATTTGAGGTAGGAAATCTATGTTTGTATGGAAATGATATGCTTATGTTGCACTGAACCATTACAATTTGAAGGTCAATGTGGAGCTAGTTAAAATGTTGCCTGCTGTTTTTTTAGAGTATAGAAAAATATAATTACTTGCAAATATCAACATTGAACTTGCTTACTAAAATTTGGTACGAGAAATATTAATTTGTGTTAAGAAAATTTCGCATAAACTCACTAAATCTGGCAAGTTTCTTAATTTGGTAAAATTCTTTTTAGAATTACCAAATAACAAGACATCTTGAAATATTAATCAGGTTAAGTGTGCTACTAACCCTTCTCTTTTTGCATGGTTCGAGTACACTTTGGGTCAGTCACACACAAACAAAATTCATAATACATAAGGAAAAATCCACAGGACATTGACAAATTTGAATGCATTACTTGTTTCCAGAGAGCATACGAGAAAGGTGAGGAAGTTCTAGATTTTCAAAAGAACAATAGGAAAAGTTTCGAAGTTTTGTATACTTAGTTTTCTTTCTTTCTTTTTAACCAACCAAATGAAACAATAAATACTTCCTTCCCGTACTCTCTTCTCAGAAAAAAAAAAATGAACACAGTTTTCTTTCTTGTTAACCATTTGATGTTTGGCGTGTGTTTAAGTTTTTTACTTCCTGCATATAGGAATGGAACTAATTAAAAGAGGATAAGCCAATTACTTATAATCTTAAAATTAAATTTCTTCCAGCCATTCTTCTATGGAAGGCAAGAAGAAAACTGACTACAATTCCAAGCAAACAAAAGCACATTATGAGCTAAAATTGGAACGTGTAACTTGGAGCTAGAGAAATAGCAATGTATTTGGAAACGGGAGATTACAATAATACAAAATTACAATATGCAATTACATTTGTAATTTTAAAGCAACACTAATAAAGACGGCATGATTGCATAAAATTGGAGATGAAGAAGCTACAGTATAGGGACAGTTCACAAGATGTTCATGATTCGGAATCCTTCGATTTGATATCGTCCATAGTAACTTTTGGGTAGTTCTCATAGCCCATAATGCTATTTATCCGTATACGTGTGTGTGGCTGTCACATGTTGAAATCAACACAATGTCAAGCATTTCAATAACAGGGACGAAATCATTTTCAACTAAGCTTTATTTGAAGAGATGTCACAAGATTTTTTAATTTTTATTCAGTTTCTGATAAGTCACTGTATGATTTAAGTAGCATAACATTAATGCCATGGTAATCTTGCACCACTCAGTATAATAAGTGGAATTAGTTATAGCCACTTAAAAAGTATGGTGAAGTGATGACTGCCATGGAAGGAGATGTCTAGTTCCCAAATTTATGGTTCCAAAGGCATGAAATTTTATTTTCATGATAACCAAACTTTGTCATTTTACTTCTACATTCCTCAAACGCTCGGACAGATCATTCCACCAAACTGTCTAAGAAAGGTGGGGTGATAGTTTGCATGAGATGCTAGGTTTAAACCTCATTATTGCTATTGTACACCCATACGAATAAATAATTCCCAACCACTCGCTCCCAAGCCATGCAAACCAACATTTCAATTGCAAAATATTTGATAAATAATTTGATTGCACAAGTTAAAGCATAACTGTTGTACCTGTCTGTGTCCAATGTTTCTGCGATAGTGCTTCTTCTTTTTATATTTGAAGACAATTACTTTGGGGTCTAAACCCTGCATTAAAACTAAAGTGGTAGGTAGAAGATTTCTTTTAAAAATATTATCTAGAGAAGATAAACGAAAAGAAAAAGCTGTACCTGCTCTTCAACCGTTGCATATACCACAGCATTTGTAACTATTGGTTTCCCAATGTAGCAAGATGTATCAGTGCCAACCAGTAAAACTTTGTGCAAAGCAATCTGTAGTTACCAACAACTAAATTAAACTGATAATAAAATAATCTTTTGGAAATTACAGAAGTTGTTCATATAGCATTATCACTTGAGATGGCATCAACATCACCCCGAACCACTCGTAAAAATAACTTTATTCAGCTTACTTAGGCCAAGTTTCTTAAACAGACTTTTTTGTCAGAACCTTTAAATCTACATGTCCTAAACCATGGTTCAGATCATTAATAGGTCCTAAATCTACAATCAGTTAAATTTTCACGATATATGATTACACTAGTCAATGAACTTCATTCTCCAAATATCTATCTTGTACTTTGGAGAGCCGAAACTTTGATATAATAAATGAACAGATATATTGTCTGTCTGTTGCAGATACATTTTCTTGTGACTACCAATTACATCAATAATAATAACATACTATGGTATTTTGCCCTTAAAAAATGACATGCTGTAATTCATGCACTTTCGCATGCATAAACACTATTCTGATATTCACTATTCAAATGCTTATTACCCAGCTGCCATCACGCTCAAATCACAGAAATTTTAAAAGCAATAATGTTTGGGGAGAAAGTGATGGTAGTAAGCTGGCGAAGCATATAATCAAAGACAGAAAAAAAAAACATTGAAAGAGTTTTAAGAATGATACAAAACTGTGGCTGATGAGTTAAAGCGTATCTATTACTTGAGCTAGAGGGAGACCGACCGAGAAAAGTTACAGACAACATCAGCATGACGGATTGAGAAATCAGGGGTTTGTCTACAGAGATATTTCAGAATAGAATATTACAACATCATTTGATCCATGTAGCAAACTCCACCTAGTAAGAAAAGGTCTTATATTGTTCCAAAACAGCAGAAGTTAAGAAGTAAACAAGCTATCATAGTTATGCACCTTATCATTAACATTTGCACCTGACAACCTCTGAACAACAAGCTTTCGCCCGGGGTGAACAATATATTGGCGTGAACCAATCTAGACAATACAACAAAAACAAGTTCAGAATCACACAAGACAGAAGATAATATTAGCAGAAACCACAAAAATATCCTATCAAACTTAAGTGGAACAATAAAACAACACTTCAAACAACCAGAATTAACTGTTTTAATCGATGGCCGCCACTTTACAATAGCACCAAAAACATATATAAGCAATAATTAAAAGCATTTAGCAGCCTCAAATCTTGGAGTACAAATGCAATTGGCCAGAAAACTCATCTGGGTCAACAATTTTAAACCGCAGCTTGCAACATTTCCACACTGGGTCATCGAATCCCATACCCAACTTCAGAAAAAGAAAGTTATTCCCAATTCATTAATCAGAACTCACCATTACGACTGCGAAGAGACCGGGCTCCCATGAGGGTGCCTTAGCCGAGACAATCTGGGTCGGTTCTGGCTCGGTCGAACCGGTTTCCGTTTCGGTTTGGGCAACCGCAGATTCTGAGGACTTGGGAACGGGTGCGAGAGGTGAGCGAGGCGAGCATGTGAAATTGTAAGAGTGAGAAGGAAAACGATTGAGATTGAAAGATTGAGAAAATAGAGGTTTAGGGTTGTGAGAAATGGTGCAATGGGTTCCGAATGTAGCGCACAGAGTTGAAACAGCAGCAGTGGCCATTTTTGAGAGACCTCTCTCTCTGTCTCTTCTTCTCAGGCCTATCTATCCTCTCTTCTTTCCTATCCTTTTCTCTTCTCACTTTTATTTTTCACCCAAAAATTATTTTTAAATTGGTTTTACTTTTTTTTTTAACAATAGAAATTGAACAAATTAAAATAAGGCACGCCACACTCTGCACCAACCTTACGGAGAAACAAACAATAAAAATTTTATTTTTTTGCTTAATTTGATATTTTTTAGATTTCAACCTTTTAGGGGTAATATTCCTACCTTATATCACAAAACTAATTATTCCTATATATTATTTTAACTAAAATTAGAACAACCAAAATAAGGATGAACTCAAGTCTAAGTAAAAGTATTATAGAGAATTTATACAGTTAAAATAAACTCAAGTGAGTTCAAATTTAAAAAAAAATGAAATTATACTAACTTTGCTTAATTTGATGTTTGTTATCCTCGATTTATTTTATATAGATGTCATATATAGATGTAAGAATGAGTCAAATTAGTGGTTTGAATCTGATCCATTTAGTTTACTTGGTAGCTAGTCTTTAAAATATTGATCTTTTATGACTCATCATGTATCGATTAGTTAAACCAGTTATAATACCTAATTCATAATAGTTATTTTTAACATAAAAAGAAAGATATAAAATAAAATATGTTTCGGGATAAATTATTATTGTAAAAAAATTAGAAAACGAGAATTTTTAAAAATAGAAAAATGTTTTAATAGTAATAAAATTCTTACAAAGTTGTAGATCGTATAAAATATTTTCAGCTTAAAATTAAGTTATATTTTTATCAAAATTTAATTAAAATGTACGAAGTGTGTAAATAGTTTTTAATTAATATTGAGTTATAATTATAGTATGGTAAATTATCAAAGAAAGAACTAATTGTAAAATTATATTTAGTTTATTTAAGTATTTAACATATAAAAATTATACACTAATAAAAAGAGAACTCATTTTATTATAACTAAAATGTTTAAATATGTTTTTTATCTATAAACTATTAAGTAATATTATAATTGTTTAATGTTTGGAACTTTAATTATGTCCTATACTTTCTAAGAGTAATGAATTTAGTTTCTCATTACTAACAACTTTTGTCTCATGTGGAAAACAACTTTCCCACGTAGATATATGTATGGCTTATACTTGTATTAACATGTGTGTTAAATTTTATTTTTTAATGATTTCTTTTAAACATTAAGATGTAATGACTACATTTTTTTTTATTCTTCATTTTCACATGGCATTCACATATCATCATAATTTGTCGTCACAATAACTATAAACGTTGTGGACATCATCTTCTCTCTTCCCACATGAGAATTTTTCATTTTCATTTTGAAAAAGAAAAAGAAAAATCTCCATGTATAAAAAGAGAAAATAATACCAACAATGTCTTTCCTTATGCACGAAGAGAGAAGAAGAAGCAGGTTAGACCGACAACATCACTAATCATTGTGATGACAGGCGATGGTGATGCATGCAGTGAAGATTTGGATTGTGGCTCTAAATGGGATGGGAAAATGGAGAAGATGGGGTCAAGAATGTAGTCAATACATCTAAATGTTTAAAAAAAATCATTAAAAAGTTAAAACTCAACAAACAAAATCAAAGTTTCAGGACAAATTACCATTGCTCATAATAGTTGAGGAAAAAAACATTTTTAAGCCTAACTATTAACCAAGTTAGGTTAGCCCAGTCAGATAAGAATTGGACTCATAATTTTTAGAGGCAACATGACTATGAAGCTTGAAAAATAATAGCAACATATTTCCTTTCTCTTTGCTCAACACAAACACAAAAAGCCAATTTACCTTGTATGTTGAGTCTATTTGACGTCACCGAATACAGAGTTCCAATGTAAAATATATAATAATCATGTGCATGAAAAATTAACTATTGACTTTTCTTCTATCATATGTTTCCTAACGGCACTAAAGATCTCAATAAGCATATTAGGATGAGTCATTCACTCCTAAACCAGGAAATAATGAAGTTTTATGATTGCTGTTCATGACTTTGCTTCTACAACCACCTGGTTCCCCCCTTCTCATCATTGTTTCAAACTCCCCATAATTAATTCTCCCATCCTGAAAAAGGACACAAATTAGAATAGAAAAACATTTTCTGCTTTAGAAAGAAAGGTATCATAGGTAAATTCATTCAAAATATCAGAGAAAGAAAAGCCTTATTTTGGGACAGCTAACATAAAAGACCTGAGAGACGTTAGGAAGGAAGCATTAACAGAACGTTATTAGCATTTAAAATTTGGCTCAAATCAGTGATATAGATTAATAGCTCAAATAAAAGTAAGGTTGGAGATGATATTTAAAGGGTTTATTTAAGAAACCTGAGAATTTAGTAAATATTGCTAAAAACATTTTCAATATTGAAAAAACTTTAGAATAAACACGTAAAAGGCAGAAATGAGAATTCAAAAACATAGCAAAAGTTGTAAACATGAAATCTTTATGCAGTATTTGATCCTAATGGTTGACTTGCAAGAGAAACAAGAAAGTAGAAACATATTTCACTTTCACTAATTTTAGAGATAACTTGTTCGAGTGATTATTGCTAAACTAAATGAATTCAACAACGAAGTTCAGTTAAACTAAGCAGAGTGACAACAGTCACATCAGCACGTACTATTGATCAGAGGAACTTACATCGTCTTGATCAATCTCTTTGATCATCTCATCCAGATGCAACTCACCAAGGCCGAAGTCTTTACAAGCCTGTTGAAGCTCATCAATGGTGATGTAACCACTACCATCTTTATCAAAATAGGAAAAAGCAGCAACTAAATTCTCTTCTCTTTCCATCTTATTCAAGTGCATTGTAGCTGCGAGAAATTCACCATAGTCTATTGTTCCATTGTTGTCTATATCAGCCTGCCAAAGTGCACAAGAGAGACCAGTTAAAGATCACCCAGTTCAACGTATACAAAAGAAGCAAAAAAGATATGCAGCTTTTTCACATAACACCTCCGTTTTTATTACATTCTATTCTATATTAACTATAATCTACCTACCGCATCCATAAGGGATCTAATTTCAGATTCCATGAGATCACATCCCACACTTTTCAAACCATCTTTGAGTTCCTGAAAAGTGATTGTCCCGCTATTGTCTTCGTCAATCATTTTAAATATCTCTTTTAATCCACCTATTTCCTCCTCTGAAAGTCTTTCTACTATGACCTGAAGAATTTTTCAACGTAAAATATAAGTGCACGACTTATATGAACACAATACTGTACAGAAAAATGATAAAGCATAAAGATCATTTATGTTTGGACAAACTTCAGAGAAAATAAGAAGAAAAAAATGAAATTGACTTCTGCATGCATAATCTAATTTGGAGAACCTCTCTCAAATAACTTCTCTACATTTTTATTTTTCACTTGTACAGAAGCTAATTTTAACCTATAAAGAAAATAATTTCATTTTTTTTCTTCATATTTTTCTTTTCTAGAAGTCCTTATAAAAGACCCAAAATCAAAATGAATGGAAATGCTTAAACAAAGAGACCATAGAACTGGATTTAATCATCACGCTAGAACAAACAGAAACCTTACCGAGGATAGAAATATCCAGCAAAAGCAGAAAACTCTTACCTAAGAGAGAAATGGATTCATAGAACCCTTTTGTGTGTATAAATATATTCAAACTAAAAACTAAATGAAAATTCGTCCAGAATTAGATAACCCTCCAAAAAAATGGCACATGAAACTTTTATGTCATATAGAAGTGATGGGGAAAAACTCCTCTCACACCTAATGAGGGTCAAAGTACGAGACCATACACAAAACAACCGAAAAGTATGAATTTACATGATTAGACACCTCGTGTCTATTTCCACCAAATTGTCTCTAAAGTATTTCATTATATAACAATGCATTAGTTTTCCAGAAAAACTTGAGAAAATCCTGTCGCATCTTAGGGCGGTGACCCTCTCTCTAGATTGAGTGTATCGTTTTTCTTCATATGTCCCTTTATAAAACAAAGCTTCATGACTGCCACCATAAATAAGACTCAATAGACTTTAATTATTTCACCTCTTCATCCATGCCTCATTATGAGAATGGGATTCTTCAAGAGTCAAGATGCATTCCTACCCCTACCTCTTGGAATCCTGACTTTCCACTACCTGTATTAATGTCTGGAATTTTGGATTGATTTTGCAACAATAAGTTATGATAGGTTATCTCATTCGACAAATTTTTAATATAAGCCTCAAGAAAAAATTAATATCATGGTTGAAATCAAACAAAAAAAAGGTAAGGCATAACAATTAAACATACACGTATCGCCATCTTCTTAAGTTTATTCATTGTTGAGAAATGCTTTAGGCGCGTCAAAACAGCAGGATCCAGAGGTTTGTCCGGGGCAACACTGTCATCAACAATCCAAGGGTGACCTGAGAATACAAGCCTCCATGCTTGTTAGATCTTTTACCAAGCTATGACATTGTAATGAGCTGCCATACACCAATAGCACAAGAAAATTCAGTTAAAACTAGTATTCAAGAAACTCACACAAGACTTCATGAGCGGAAATTCTTTTCTTGGGGTCCTTATCCAACATCTGCTTTATCAAATCTTTAGCACTTCCTGATATACTTGGCCACGGATGAGATGCAAAATCAACTTCTGCATGCAAAATCTGTTTGAAAACTCCTGATTCGGATTCTGAAAAAAAGAAAAAATTGAATGCAACTCAGGCACAAAGATAACAAGCATATGATCAAATAATATACAGAGAAAAAAATTCAGTTGTTAGTCGAAGAGAATTACAGTAAACATTAGGATCATTACTTGCCCAGAAAGGTGGAAGCCCTCTCAGTAAGGTGTATAGAATAACACCAGCACTCCAAACGTCCACTTCTGGTCCAGACTGTCTGCCCAACACCTCTGGGGCCATATAGTAGCAAGTTCCTACTATATCACTAAAGGTTTGTCCTGAGAAGAAACAAGAAAAAGGGCAAAGGTAAGAGTGTGTTCGGTAGTTGTTTGCCAAAATCATACACGCATACTAAATCCAGGAAGATGGTTAAGTGA